TTTATTGATAAAACTTATAAGAGGTATTTTCTTAGGGAAACTACAATTGTTAAACAAGTACGTTTCACAAATTTCAGATGCCTTAAACAAATCCCCAAACTGCCTATATATAAGAGAAAACTAAGAAGTTCGGACTTCAAACTTATTACAACCAGATTTCAAAAGGAAAATAAAAAAACTAGTAGCCGACAAACCAACCTTGCCAAAGCAAAAAACAAAAAATAAAGTATCTCACATGACTTAATAATACACTTAATAATATAGAGGAATCTTTTGAAATAATGCAGACGAATCTTTTGAGCTGTAAAGCCAACAATAATTTCATCCTTAGGAATCAAAGTCAAAGTAGCTTTATTTCATCCTTATCTTCTAGGCATAAAGTCAAAGTAGCTTTAATAGTTGACCATGACAATATTTATCTTGTAATAATGTCATGATAACTTATAATAATGTCATATCATGGTAGTACATCAGTCATATTCATTTTTTGGTGCAATCTCGGATATGCTGGAGGCATTATCACTTTCAGAAAAAGCTAAGTTAACATCTTTTAATTTTTCTATGAATTCTTTGGGATCCAGGATAGAAGATAGTGCGGCTCATACTTTAAATTTATCTGCCAAGAAAGCAGTATCTTCAGAGGCCGATGAAGTCTTTATATATATATATATATATATATATATATATATATATATATATATATATATATATATATATATATATATATATATATATATATATATATATATAAGGTTGGATCGGTCGGACCATATAAAGAGAAATAGTAGAATCAATATTAGAGTTAATAAATATATAAATATTTAAGGTAATATAATTTAAAACCAATTCAGTTAAATAACCCTCTCATGCTCTGATACCAGACGATTGGATCGGTCGGATCATATAAAGAGAAATAGTAGAATCAATATCAGAGTTAATAAATATACAAACATTTAAGGTAATATCGTTTAAAATATCAGAGTAATAATCAAATGCAAAAATATAATTAACATAGACAAATATGCTCAAAGATTTTTTTTATTGATAAAACTTACAAGAGGTATTTACTCAGGGAAACTACAATTGTTAAACAAGTATGTTTCACAAATTTCAGATGCCTTAAACAAACCCCCAAACCTCTTATATATAGGAGAAAACTAAGAAGTCCGGACTTCAAACTTATTACAACCGAATTTCAAAAGGAAAATAAAAAAAAACTAGTGGCCGACAAACCAACATGGTCAAAGTAAAAAGTAAGAAATAAAGTAACCCACGTGATTTAAGAATACACTTAATAATGTAGAGAAATCTTTTTAAATAATGCAGACGAATCTTTTAGGCTGTAAAGCCAACAATAATTTCATCCTTAGGAATTAAAGCCAAAATAGCTTTATTCCATCCTTATCTTCTAGGCATAAAGTTAAAGTAGCTTTAATAGTTGACTATGACAATACTTATCTTGTAACAATGTCATGGTAATGTCATCGTAACTTGTAATAATGTCATATCATGGTAGTACATCATCCATCTTTAGAGATCTGGACTACCGTATCAAGAGTCTTCATTTTCCGGTGCAATCTCGGATATGCTGGAGGCATTATCACTTTCGAAAAAAGCTGATATAACATCTTTTAAGTTTTCTATGAATTCTTTGGGATCCACGGTAGAAGATATTATGGATAATACTTTAGATTTATCTTCCAAGAAAGCATTGTTATTTTTAGGGTTATTGGGAGCTCTTAAAGGGGTAACTCCATATTATTCACAAAATGTTCTCATTTTGCGCTTGTTATTCATTTTCTCATTTTTTATTTTATTTTTTATTTTTTAATCAGTACATATTTGTAGATCTGTTTCTATAATATAGTTGGAAAGTTCTCTCATAGACAAAGTATTGTAGGGAACAATTACATTAAAAATTAATATTAGTCTTAACATTTTCACCGAATAATCTCGGCAAGCCACTAATAAATATATCTTTCTAATAATTTGTTAATCCATCTGATCTAAGGCAAAGTTTAGAAAGAAACATGTCTTTATACCAACAATAATCGGACATGGTAGGATAATAAAGGTTCATTAATTGCTCGGAGGCTCTTTGTTGAAGTTTTAAGGGTTCTTTTACAAAGAACTTAGTAATGGCATAAAGGAGAGTTGTAACACAATTATCTTCATTATTTTCACCTTTTATAGCCATGTCAATTTTCAACTTATCTTTTGGTGCAATGATGTTATCCCATCATCCCTTTAGTTGACCATTGAAGCCCGTGACTATCATGTTTTTGGTCTTTTTATCGTTATTTCTCCTAATCTTAAAGGCGGTGGCAGCCATAGTCATTTGTTGAATGGTATCCAAAACCTGTTGTTCTGAAGTACCATTTATGTTCCACTCAAATATAGATTCTCTGGAGTAGCTATCTCCTACGAAGCTACTTCTTTCTTCAAATTGCAAGTCAGCAAATGAAGGTCTAGGATAATAATTTCTAGTTTTTGGCCTAGGGCCTTTATTTCCTAACTTGTTTAAGGTTAAGGTACTGCTACTTTCTCCTTCATGAGAGAGAGTATGTAATGTGGTTGTTGATTCTAAATTTAATCTATTTAATTTCTTAATTAATTCAGTGATTTTCCGATCAGATTCTTGACCTAACATCATACCTTGCAGTTTATTTTTTGAGGAAATATCATAATGATAAATTGGTCTAGTAGGATCAAGTTTAGTAGAAGGTATATCAATAGTATGAGGAATAGCCTCTTCAATTCTTTCTAATTGTTTTGATCTCTAAAGTATGAATATTTCTAAAATGGTGAAGTATAGATACCGGATACGCACCTGTACCAGGTACACGTACCGTATTCGTGGTACTTCATTTTTTCTTATTATTGAATTTTGAGTAAAATTTGTGATTTTGTCAAATATTAATATAGTATATTTATATATTTTAACTTCTCTGTTGTTGTATCTTAACATTATTTTTGAATATTTAAAATTTTTGTAAGATATTTAGTTGTGAACCTAACAATTTAGTTTTCTACTAGTATATTTTATAGAAAACTCTTATTTTTTATTAACGTACCCGTACCTTGATTTTTTTTTTAAATGGTGTATCCCATACTGGTACCGATACCCGCACCGGGTACCGTACCCGTACCTATGCATCATAGGTTTTGATATAGTACTTAATATTTTGTTGGTAAAGTTTAGTTGGCTATGAATGTTATTAATGTTTTTCTAGTTTCATCAGGACGTATAATTGATTTAAAATGAGACGCTTCTATCTCAACATTTTCTTTAGGCGGTGTTATTTTAATAGTTTCTAAGGGTGGATGTATTGAACTAATAGTCTCTTTCTTAATTGTTTTTCACTGAGTAGTGATCCTTGTATTAACGTCTAAAAACATTTTATTAGCGTAGGGATTTTTAATTTTTTCTTCTAAATGGTATAATTCAAACCAATAAAGAAATATGTATTAATTTCATAATAATTTATAAGTTCATAAAAAAATTCTAAATATAATTTTGTTAGTTTTATCAAAAAAAGAGAAATATCAATCTCTCTTTTCTTTATTATAATCTGAGTTAAACTCATTTCTTATCCACGTTTTATCAATGATGAAATGATCTTCTCTAGTTAAGGTACCTAAAACTTGTGAAGTAGTAGGTGAAGGTGGCCTAGAGGTTTCTTCTTGATAAATTGGGATGGGGAGGATTGAAGTCTACTCCGGCTAAATTAATTTTAATGGTGGAATTAGTTTACGGTCTAGCAGCAGAGGGTCTGATGTTAGAGGAAGTACTAACGCTACTTGAAGTGCAGTATTAGCGGGATTGACTCCTATTCATTCTAATCCTAACAGATTCGTCAATGTCTTGAATGACATCTCTAATGGTTCTAGCTTCTAACTTATCAGTTTTAACATCTCTTAGTATTCATTCTTCTAAAAGCTTATTAATTATATTTGAAGCGGTTAATATTTTTGGGGTCATAACATTTGATTTACTCAAATTTGCTTTTATAATACAAGTCTCGTTTCTAGGGGTTGATTTTAAAGATTTAAAATCATAATTGACTTTACAAATTTTAATGTTATTCTACTAATGACATATATTTTGGCAACTCCAGGAGTAAAGGTGTCTCCAAGAGTCTGAACATAGATAATCAAAGAGTTTGGTGTAAACTCGTTAAATAGGCTCATACTAAAGTTTGGATGGCAGCTAAAATAAATTGGACCATCATTTAAGTTGGACTCAACTACGACTATAGTTGAATTATAAAAATCCTTTATTCTAGTATCTCGTAAAACTAGAAGGATTGGAGTATTCAATCCTAATTTATGTAAAGGTTTTATAGCCATTTGTATTAATCTTAAATTAATATACTTGTAACCTTCACAATGTTGTTTATCTAAAAGGTTTTTATTTAATAAGTTTATGGTTTCATACTTACTACTGATATCAGTTGCCGACTCAGTTGTATGAATAATTTTTTGAATATTAAATTCAAAGGTACTAATTTTATAAATAGATAAAATTTAATTTATAGCATAGACCAATTAACTAATCTACTTTCCATTTCCTAACTCTCTAATTCATGATTTTGAAAATTATCTTGATTTAATTCATAATTGGTAATACTAGAAGACGCAGGACATAAAGCTAGGCTATTAGTACTTCTACAATTACTACTTCCCAACTTGCTCAAAACCCTTAAGATTTGCGGCATGATTCAATACAAATTATCTTTCAAGAAATTTTTCTAAGGGTGGATATATATATATATATATTAAATGATCAAATAATTGATTCTAAAAGTATAGTAATGATTCTAGAAAACTTGTCACAATAATTGAACACCCACCAGTAACTGATCAAATAATTAAATGACAGCAAAAGGCATAATATTAAAATAATTGGATAGTGAAAGTAAGAAACAACTCCTTTTCTTTGTAATCCTCTTCCATGCAAAAGCAAAGTCCTAGACCACACACAGAAAGCACAAAGAAAAATGGCTGTGAATGAGATGAACAAAAAACCAGAACTAATTTTCATTCCTTCACCAGGAATTGGCCACTTAGCTTCATCACTTGAATTTGCAAAACTCTTAATCAACACTAATAACAACCTTTCCATCACAATCCTATGCATCAAATTCCCAGGCTTTCCCTTTGCAGATTCATACATCAAATCAGCTTTAGACTCACAACCTCAAATCCAACTCATTGATCTTCCTGAAGTTGAACTGCCACCACAAGAGCTACTCAAATCTCCAGTGTTCTTCATCTTGACTTTCATAGAAAGTCTCATACCTCATGTTAAAGCAACTATACAAACCATTCTATCAGACAAAGTTGTTGGGTTAGTCCTAGATTTCTTCTGTGTTTCCATGATTGATGTTGGAAATGAACTTGGCATACCTTCTTATATGTTTCTGACATCAAATGTTGGTTTCTTAAGTTTCATGCTTTTGCTACAGAACCGCCGAATCGAGGATATTTTCGATGATTCCGACCTTGATCGTCAATTCTCGATTCATGGTTTCTCAATTTCAGTACCTTTTAAAGCTTTACCTGATGCTGTTTTTAACAAAGATGGTGGGTATGTTGCTTATTATAAAATTGCTGAGAGGTTTAGAGACACCAAAGGGATTATTGTTAATACTTTTTCAGAATTGGAACAATATTCAATTGATGCATTATCTAGTCATGATGAAAAAGTTCCTCCTATATATGCTGTTGGTCCTTTGTTAGATCTCAAAGGTAATCCTAATCCTAAGATAGACCAAGCTCAGCGTGATCTTATACTGAAATGGCTAGATGAACAGCCTAATAAATCTGTTGTTTTTCTATGTTTTGGAAGCATGGGAAATAGCTTTGTTCCATCTCAAATAAGAGAAATGGCACTAGGACTTAAGAATAGTGGAGTTAGGTTTCTGTGGGCTAACAATGCAGAGAAACAAGGGTTACCAGAAGGGTTTTTAGAATGGATGGAATTGGAAGGTGAAGGAATGATATGTGGTTGGGCACCTCAAGTTGAGATATTGGCACATAAGGCTATAGGTGGATTTGTTTCACATTGTGGATGGAATTCTATTTTGGAAAGTTTGTGGTTTGGTGTTCCAGTATTGACATGGCCTATTTATGCAGAACAACAGCTTAATGCTTTTAGGATGGTGAAGGAATGGAGTCTAGCTGTGGAGTTGAGAATGGATTATAGAAAGGGTAGTGATATTGTGGTGGCTGAGGAGATTGAGAAAGGGTTGAAGGATTTGATGGATAGAGATAACATTGTGCACAAGAAGGTGGAAGAGATTAAAGAGATGGCAAGGAATGCTGTTGTTAACGGTGGATCTTCTGTCATTTCTGTTGGAAAATTTATTGATAATGTTTTAGGACGCAGTTGATGAACTTTTGTTCTTTATAGTTGGGTGTTCCCTTTCTTGGAATCATATGAAGGAAGAAGTCATGTTTTATTTTAGTTAATATATCTTATGTAAGATTGTTCTCTACTTTAAAAAAAGTTGGATGAATTTAAGTAGAATATGGAAATAGTTGCAGTTTGTGCATAACATATTTAGTCCAGCAAATATTCTTTTCATAATCAATGCAGACAAATTTATTGTCGATGACTAATTCTAAAATCATGATAAACCCTTAAAATGTGATATATAAACTCAAGTCAAATTCAGAATGTGAACTTATAGAGCCAAGATTAGGAGGGCCAAAACCAACAAAATACCAATGTTAATAGAAACATTAGCTACCAAATATCTAATATATGATGTTAGATACCATGTATATATTTGGGTTAATACCTATTTTCACCCCTGATATATGGGGTGTATTTGAAAAATCCCCCGGTCAAAAAAAATTTTCAATTGTTATTTTGACAAATTTTAAAAGTTTCAGTTTTTACCTTGAGGATGCCACATCACCTAAAAGGCTGATGTGGCTTATATTTTTGTTATATTTTTATTATTATTTTAATGACATGGCTTGATTTTTGAAAATTTAAGTGATTTTAAATTTAAGTGATTTAAATATAAGTGATTTTTGAAAATTTAAGTGATTTTTTTAAATTTAATTTTTTTTTTAAATTTAAGTGATTTTTTTAAATTTAAGTGATTTTTGAAAATTTAAGTGATTTTTGAAAATTTAAGTGATTTTAAATTTAAGTGATTTAAATTTAAGTGATTTTTGAAAATTTAAGTGATTTTTTTAAATTTAAGTGATTTTTTTAAATTTAACTTATTTTTTTAAATTTAAGTGATTTTTTTAAATTTAAGTGATTTTTGAAAATTTAAAATTTAAAAAAAATTACAGTAAAAAGATAAAATATATAAAATATTTTTTAAAAAATTATTTAAACCAACTAGTTAAGAAAATTTATTGATAATTGTAATTAATATGTTAATGATATGAATATTTATTGATGCATATATGTGACAAAGAAAATGTATTGGTCTAGTGGTAAGAAACGTTCACTGCAGACAGTATGTCCATGGTTTGATTCCTGCTGAAGGACAAAAAAATTTTAACTTTTGAACTTTTTTTTTGCAGGGGGTTTTTCAAATACACCCCATATGTCAGAGATGAAAATAGGTATTAACCCTATATATTTTGATATTTAAATAACACAACTCCAAAAGGAAAGGTTCTTAGGAACGTACAATTAAATCGTATTACAGACAAAATAAGGAAATATTATAAGCAAGCATCATTTCAGATTCTCAAATGTCAATGAACTTACTCCAATACTCTTTCTTGTTGTGCTTGATAAACCCAGACCTTAAAACTGCCATTATCTTCATGACCTCTTATCTTCTCTTGGGTCAGAATCATATCTTCCTTTTGATTCAGATCGATGAGTATTATTTCTATATGATATATTATCTAGCTTCCCGTCTTGATCTTTTCTTGACCTTGGTACAGATTCTTCCTCAGTGTGCTTTCTTGATCTCCTCTCTTCACGGTTACCATGCTTCCTATCATGATCATCTCTTGACCTTGGTACAGATTCATCTTCAATGGGTTTTCTTGATCTCCTCTCTTCCCGGTTACCATGCATTTCTTTTGACTTGCTTCTAAAATCATCTACATCCTGCCTACTCAGTCTTTTGTCTTCTCTCACGTCAGAATCTCTTGACCTGGGCTTAAACTCGACATCCTCTCGCTTTATTGACCTTTTGTCTTCCCTTCTGTGATCTCTTGGCTCAGGTTCCCTGTCGTCATAATCGTTCCTTGATCTTTTTTCTTCTCTCCTATGTTGATCTTCTTTTGACCGATGTTCCAGTTCAACGTCATTATGCCTCCGCGGCATCTTTTCCTCTCTTCTATCACTTCGCTTGGATGGGTTGTCTAATTCCATCATATTGCTATGGGCTCTGGGGCGTGAGTCTCTGTCTCTAGTTTCTGGAAAGCGATTTGATTGGTTGATGTCATGTCTTCTTTTGGGACCATCATATTTGTCATTATCCCATTTTGAATTATCCTTCTCACCCCAACCAGTATTTGCAGCTCTCTACAAAAGTAAAACTCGGTCAGTGCAAAACCAAAAACATACAATAGGGTAGCTGGACAAATAGTTTGCATAAGATATTAGATAGAGAATTGAAATTCATGTTGCTATTTCAACTGCATCACATATGCAGAATGTGGGGTATGGAACCAAGATTTTTTACTAATTTTAATCATTTTTCAAAATTCCAAGATTTTTTACCTATTTTAATCATTTTTCAAAATTCCATTACTGGTAATCTTTCAATACTCCGTAAGTGGTTATCATATACTTTATAAGAGCTAATGAAAATACTTTATAACATGACTATAAGCTGCATTTAGCTCATTTTCAGCTCTCTAGAGTAGAGCTTATGGAAACAACGTATACAAAGAACTTGGGCAAAGTTTCCCCTCATTCCATCCTTGATTATAGAACCAATTTGAACATAAACATTTCACGGTAAGTGCGCATTGTATACCATAATACCTCCAAAAGTCTAATTGAAACAAACTGCGGCTTAGGGATACCATGTTGAATTAACCGCAAAAAACTGTGCAATGCAATTCAATTACAACTTCAAATAAATTTCAGTGTAAAGGTATATACTAATCATCAAAATCAAGGTGATAGCAAAATTATATTCATCAAGCTTCAGTGTTGTTGGCTAAATATTACCATCATCAACGTTCCTGTTTCCACTAATTATAAGGTTTCAGGATAAAGGGAAATAGAGTTCTCTGGTTGTCAAACTCAATAGTTTAGGTAAACCTGTGAAGTCTGCGTGTGGACTTAACTCATAGAAGTTTATCTAAAACAAAAATAACATAGATATGACCTATATAAATAATATAATACCATTAAAACAATAATAATTCAATATTTTTAAATAGATAAATATTTATAACAAATAATAGTTTTGACCAAAATATTACATTTTAAAACTAATACTTATCACAACTCAGGAATAACTAAACCAAATATTGAATAATATTATTGACTACAAAATTTGTATTCCTGAAAACACACATAAGAATGCCCCAATACAGGATTTCTGAAAACACACAGGATTTCTGATCCTCCTCCTGCCTAGGTTTCTGATAGAAACTGGTACCCCAATTGTAATTAACATCAATAGCAATAAGTGACAATAGAATAGGATTATTATAGAAACAGAATGGTAAACTAATGAAAGAATTAGGAATATGAAAATACAGGATAGTTACTATTTGGATCATTGGGTTCCTAACATTCAAAATTGATTCCCTTCCCCAAGAATTCGAGTCTTTGTCTTTCCTTTCTAAGATTTCAACAGCTTGGTATTTCCCAACCCAACCAATCTCCAATCCCAAATAATTTCCTACGGACTTTTCCCTCCAGTTTCCCAATTTGTCGAGTAACTACCTAAAAATATAACTGCTTCCTAATACATAACTGCTACATAGTAATATATTACTTGCTTGCTAATAAAATAATAATTTCCACCAAAAAGACTCACCTTGTCCTCAAGGTGAAAGATTACATAAATGGCCACCAGGGTCCTAGAACTAGAATTCAGCCACCTCTTCTTCCGCCTTCTCTTCATAATTTTCAGTCATTATCAGGACTTGTAACAGTTTGATGGAACATCTATGACCTAGAACAAATTCCTCGTCACACCGGAAACATAATCCTTTTATCTTGCATCTCTGCTTTAGTCAATTTCAAACTTTTGTCCTTTAACCGCCACAGAAGTTTTTGTATTATTCTCCCCTCCCATGGAACTTTCGATCTCGGCATGGGCTGTTTGAACTTGAACTTAGTTCTCTGGCTCCCAGATTACAGTTTTGGATTAATGAAAGTTCTGATTGATCTTCCAATTGAATCTGTATCAATACTCCATTTTGTCAATAACATAGTTTGCAGATCCACCCTTTGAGCATGATCGTTAATTCATTTAACCTTTCAACAGGATGCAGCTCCAGTTCTTCCCTAATAATGTCTTTAAGCCCATTCAGAAAACTTCCTTTCATCTAGGATTGTTCAGAACACTCTAGTGGGCCTGCATATAACTCAAATTGTTCTTTGTATTTTTCTATGGTTTCAATTTGTTTGAGACTTAACAACAATTCAAAAGGACTGAATCATTCATACCGAGCACGTGTTTTTCCCTGCATTGCCATCGTAACTACTTTTAACCGCTCTGGTCAATTCATCTGCTTTATGTCAAAATATCTTTCAATACAGTTCAGCCTGTAAGAACAAGAAATGTTTCTACATTTGGCCTTAAGATTTTGATGATAACTTTACATAGTATCATAAAGAACAATTGTATACTCTAATGGTTTCGTTCTAGTGTGTAATTGCTGCTGTAATGTTCTAACTCTGGTATTAAGGCGTGTGACGTCATCAGATTCTGAACATAAATACTACTGGAAGAAAACATTTGGTTACGTGTTACAGTTGAAGTCAAGATTCTAGAATTTGTCTTATGCAACGGTTTTTAGGAACGTTAGTACAAGAGGTTTTGATCTTGACTTTGTGGTTAAGCTTTGGAGGCCTTCTAAAGCTTTGCTACTGTGTGTTCCAAATTTTGAAGATTATGAAGACGAAATTTTGCTGAACAAGTTCTGATGATCAGAAGAAAAAAAACAAGTTCTTACGATCAAGTGCTGAAGACTCTGAAGACAAGGTTCTGATGGGACAAGTTCTGAAGACTCCAAGACTTAGGTTATAAGACTTAAAAGTGATTTTTCTACAACAAGCTTCAAACATTCAAATTATCTGAAGCCTCTAATGATTAGAAGAAATTCAAAATGGTTAACGTGTGATGGTGTACAAAAGGTACAAAAAGTGCTATGTGACCTCTACTCTCTAGGGTGGCGTAAGGACAGTCCTTTCGTACTATACTGTGTACCACTCTCATTATGGCCGTTGAGAACAAACAGTTGGATTTCCGATTACCTTTCTACCCCTTCAACGGATTTCTTTTACAAGCTATAAAAGGAAGACTTTGAAGCTGAAGAAAAATAAGAATCAACATTACAATGAAAAATCTATCGGATTAAATCAAACTCAAACAAAACTACACCAAAGCGTCGTGCAACTCTTTAGAGAAATCTTCTGCGTATAGTTTTGTAAATGGGCATGGAGTTGCTTGTATCTTGCTATAAAACACTTGGGTGTTTTTCTTTGTACTGAAACGTTTGTGTAATCTGCTTAAAAGAAGCAAACTGTAATACACTGAAAATACTCAACAGTTGTTGATTAATTCCTTGAGTGACCAAGTGAAGGTCTGATCTCAAGAAGACTCTTACTGCAGTTTGAGTGGATTTGCACTAAGGATCGACTGACTTATTGGGGGTGCCAATAAGGTTGATCTGACTTATTATGGGTTGTCAGTAATCAATTTGGTTATAGTGGATTAAGTCCTTGTTGAAGGCAGATCACCTTACGGGGTAGACTGGAGTAACTTAGTTAATAATGAACTTGGATAAAAATAATTGTGTTCATTTATTTTGATGTTCTAACTTAACTTGGTCTTTCATCAACGAAAAGATTTAAATTATTTTGGTGAAACCCAATTCAAACTCCTTTTCTTGTGTTTCTCACACCTTCACATCCAACCGTAAGCGTTAGTCCCTTCAAAAACTAGATTTTCCAGTTTTCACCATCTTTCTTCGCGAAAACATGGATGATGGTGACTCAGTGCATCGCACTCGGGGGTGTTCAAAAAAACTAAAAAGTTGAACTGAACTGCAAAGTAAACCGAACCAAACCTTTTTTCAACCCGACTAGACAGTAAAAATGCAAATCAAACTGTTGACTTTAGAAACAGTTTGTTCACCACACCATGTATTTCAACTCCAAAGTGAATTGTGGGTGCTAAAACAATTTATCAACCAAACCTAATGCCAAGCCTCTGTTATATCTTATAATTTCCATATCAATGAGGCAAATAAATAGTTTTTCTGAAACACGGCGTTATTTATGGTTTTTCCTACTTTTCCCTTGAAAATGAAATTGAATGGCGGTGTTTAACTTGAAGCAGGTGAGAAATTGATGATTGAAACACATGATTGAAATTGATGGAACTGCTGCAAAGTGCTAAAATGGATGAGAGAAACACACAGTTGTAGCATCATCAAAAAAGAGATGAGCACCGCCGCAAAACCCAACTTCTTACAGGACCTCACCCTTTCAAGCAAAGAAGACAGCACTGTCGCGTGCCATGATGTCGGTGTCTTATATTTTTACATTATTGGTGTCGAAGTGTTCGTGTTCTCTCATAGCCAGCATCACTTCAAAACCGTGTTCCAACAATTCAATACAGGCCTCCATTTCACTTTTTGTAACCACCAACAAAGCATCCAAGATCTGAGTGCTCTAATTTCATTGATCAAACTCTGGGAATTTTTTTCCAGCAGGGATTTGCAACAAAGGAAGAACAAAATGAGAAATACAGTGGAAAGATGGAGAATGAATGTAACTTGGAATTAAAGAAACTAGCTTTCACCATCTTCCACCTTCAACGGTTATTTCTTCCTTCTTCGTGCGCTTCTTCATCGCTCTCTACCTTCATCATCGTCATCTCAGCCTTCTGTTCTGAAGGTATTTTTTTTCTTCTGTACTGCTTCAAGTCGTCACACATCACCATCATCATGTTTCTTTTTTTTTTTTCTTCTGTTCTGCTACTGCTTCCAATGGTTCTGTTCTGCTTTAGCTAGTTATGTTCTGTCTTCTACCAACAGCCATGACAACTACTCCTCCTACTAATTTTACTCAACCATCTTAGTCCAAGAAGAATACAAAAGGAAGGCAAACATAGCTCGTTTCTTTTATCGGAATGGAATTGATTTCGATGTTGCAAATTCAAAGAGTTTCAAAATGATGGTTGAAGCTATTGGTATGTATGGTGCAGATTTGAAGTATAATCAAATGTTGCAAGACTTGGTTTTTAAGTATAATCAAACTTTGAAAGAGCGGTTTAAGAGTGATGAATTGATTGATCCTGTGGTCATGGATGATAATATTGATACCAATAACCATGGTTGTGTGGAGGTGAAGATGAAGAGGATGAAGAGGATGAAGTTATAGATGCTTAAGTGTTTGATTTCTTGCATTTTATTGTTATTTGGAAGTATGTTTCAGTGTTTTGCTTAAGACTTATGCTATTATGCATTTGGAAGTATTTTATTGCTAAGACTTGATGAAATTTGAGTTTTTTGGGGTATTTGCTAGTATGTTTTCAGCATGTAAGTGTCATTAAAATATTAAGTTTTTAGTGTCCGCGTCGCTAAAATAGGATACTGTATCAATCCACCCATTAAATTAAAAAAAAAAAATGCAAATCAAATCTGCAGAATTTCATACAGAAACAAAACTCTACTCCCACAGTCATACAAAAATACCTAATTCAAATAAGCTAAACAGCATTGCATATGAACACTTCTATTTTTTTTTATAAAGAACTTCAAATAGAAATTAAGGACTGAATGCTTTTCTTACTTGCTCATCATGAGAAAATTTGCATCCAGCTCCACGAGTACATTCCCCTTTTTGGAAAGCTCGACAAACACCACGGGCCTCCCTTTTCTGCCGCTCTGTCTCTTCATCTTCCTCTTCCTTCTTCTTATACTTATCAACATGATCCACCCTAATAATCCTACCTAAAACCTGAGCTCCATTCAGATTATCTGAGATACAAAAAAAAAAAAAACATTATAAAGCAATTCAGCATTGGATCCCTGGGAAAAAAATAAGATAATCGATTTTTTATTTTTAAAAACTATATATTTTAGAATCATGGAACAGAGACTAACCAACGGCAAGATTAGTGCTTCTTTGATCTTCATATGCAAGGAACGCAAAACCCTTTGATTTTCCGGTATCTTTGTCTCTAACGAGATTAACATCAACAACCTCCCCATATCTGGCTTTCAAAAAAATAATAATAAATCATCTTCAAGACCCAAATTAATATTAGATTTAGTTGATATGCATGAACAATGTGAAGATACTATCTTATGAAGCACTAACAACTCTAGGAGTAGGTGTGTCGCGGTGTCCCACACTTGTATCACAGTCGTACGAAACATGTCGGAAAAGTCAAACAAGTGTCCCCTAAAAAATGGTTTTTTTTCTTTGCTTTGACACTCTTTTAATCGGAGTATGACACCCGTATGACACTCATACTACATATGTTAGACAATTAAGACAAGTGTTTCAAACAAAAAGTTATTTTCTTCTTTGCTTCACACACCTTTATACATTTTTTGGGCAAATCTCATACACATCTAAAAGGGTTAACATGTATTGAAGCAAAGTTATTACTAAAGTATTAAAGACGTTAATTTTGATTAGAATAATTTCAATTCTTTTAATAATATATGGATGTATGAAACACAAATACTATCTTATATGTAGCGGTGTCAGTGTCGGTGTCCTATGTTTTTGACATTCTCGGTGTCGGAGTGTCTGTGTCGGAGTCTATGCTTCACAGATAGTATCAATCAACCAATCATAACCTATCCTATCTACCTTAAAATATCATACAACGGATGGTTTGTGATTGGCCAACAGTACAGTTTTACTTCACCGATGCATCTAAGTCAATCTCAATCATTACATATATATACAGGAAGAGTGCATGAAAAGAGAATCACATACTGAGCAAAAACGGCCAGAAGATCACCCTCAGTGAGATCAAAGGGAATGCCACCAACAAAAACATACGCGGAATCTTTGTATTTGGTGTGCCAGGAAGCTTGTTCGCTGATGCCTAACGCAGCTTCTCTTGAATTGATTTTCTGAATGCGCTTCACTAGTGTCAACGGGTTCATGTCTCTTTTCCTCTTTACCTAACAACACCCATATACAGAAGATTATTACAAGCAAAAAGAGAACTAGGGATTTAGGTTAGGGCAAAATTTATAATAACTATTACTATTATTTTCACTCTCCAAAAGAAAGATACCATCAAAGTTATAGTAAAACATAACATAACATTAGCTTGGGATTTTTGTCAAACAGGTTGTGTGCATATTAGAAATAAGGTTCAATTCTAACTACAGAGAGAGAACATGTAAATCAGGTGTAATACATACCTGGGTATGGATGAAAATGAGGAGAGAAAGAACTCTTCTGCCAGCGAAGTGCTTCTGCAAAGGAATTGTAGAAAAGCTGGAGCTTGGGGCGTTGGAGCGTAGCACAAGAGACTCTTGCGAAAGGGTCTGCGATGATTGTACAGCGGGGCGGGGGCGTGGGCGAAGAGAAATTTATCAAACCCCTGGGTGTTGGGTGTTGGGTGTTTGTTTCAGAGATTCTAAACGATTCCTCGGAATATAAGATGGAATTGATTGTCCTTGAAAAATTAAATCTACATTATCAAAATTCAAAAGGAAGAAGAAATAAGAATTTGTTTTGAATTTTTAAAATCTATTAACAAAATTTGTAAAAAAAAAAAAAAAATTCTATTAAAATTTTAAACATTGTGTTTTAATTTTAAATTTGATCTTATTAATTTTTTTATAATTTTTAAATATTTTAGGTAAAATATTATTATAATTATAAAGTATCTATCATAGATTTTATTTTTATAGTAATTTTAATTATTTAATTTTATAAAAAAATGTATGCACTTAGATCTTTAGGGTCAATTAATTTCAAGAGTACATCATGAACACATAACATTTTTTATCTATTTTTATTTTCTTTCACTTTCTTCATTTTCTTCTTTATCACCATTTTTATTAATTTTTAGAAAAATTAAAATTTCATATGAATTTAATAATATAGTGTTATATTTGTAAAGATCCTAGATAATAGTGACTCTAGCGTTCCGTCTAAGGGTGATGTCGTATGGACGACATCTCCACATAATAAGGAGATAGTCGTATGGATTGATGATGTGTATAAATATTGTTATCTCTCATTAATCAAAAGGGAAAGAGTCCACCATGATTCCCTAAAGAATATGTGGTCAATAATCCCCTAGTTGTAAGGGAGCAGTTGTCGCCCCTAAGAGTTTCATAAACCTTAGGCTCAATTGGCCTCTATAAATAATTTTCCTCAAGGGAAAAAAGAATATATCATAAATAAGACCTAAATTGAGACAAAGCATGATATATAGTCTTTCACCTCGCGTGAATAGGTACTCTAAACCACCACAAAACACCATCGTACATTGATTATCGCTATCGTGGGCAAGCCCTAACCACCATATAGCGTAATATACTTGTTCTGGAGTGGCCCAATGACTAGAATTGACCCAATCTACTTCCATCTTTGGCACAGCCCAATAACGTTGGTCCAACACCTCTGGTCGACCACGCTTTTGAACGGCACGACCAACAATGTCTGAAACGCACACCTGTCCGTGCGAGCAACTACCTCCCAGTTTGCTCGACACACGAAGAGCAGATGCACATGAAACACTCATAAACACTTTTGCCTGTCATCTCATCCTTGCTCGATACAACGGCTAATTACAGGCACAACTTCCCGTTTTGACCAAGTCTTGGAAGTTACCTATTTTACGGACCCGCATATCTAGGCTCAAAAATAGGGACCAATGGCTACGCGTCGAGGGCATTATATAAACCCTCGTACTTGTGAGGGTCAGGTATCCAATATTCATTCATAAAACCCTAATCTCTTTCTTGTATCTCTTTGCATTATTTCTTACTACATCATCAGAGTGCCTTGCAGGTACACCCTCTCTTCTCCACAAATTTCCAGCCAAGAAAACATCATCAACTCGGCCCACTTTCAAGTTCTGATCAACCGATAAGATTAGTGGCACCGCCTATGAGAAACTATATTCCCCTTCTTCCTTCTTCCTCGAAACCGAAGACCAAAGATACCTTCATACCTTCAAATCATGGCTGATAACGATGACCACCATTTGTCTGGAAAAATTGTACTTTCTCTTGTCCACAAGACAGACGGGAGCCAAGAACTTCCTCATCTAGAGGATACCCCTGATATTAGAGACACTCAGACAGCGTCCCCAGACTCTATCGATGCTGAACATAACAACCTCCAACTCTGGGATGGTCAGAGATCCAAGAACCCCAACGAGGAGCTTCCAAAAGTCCTCCAACCAGTTCTTATTCCACTGAATGCTGACCTGGCCATGGCAGCACTGCTCCTTGCCCTCAATCAAAACAACGCCCTAATATTGCAGCAGAGCAAGAGAATTGGGGCCTGGGAGAAGAAGCGGTCAAAGTCCCCTCCTCATAGACACCAATGTTATGAATCATGCAGTCCATCTCCACCAAGGCGTGCCCCCTCCCCCTCAGTCGCATGGGAGAAATAAGAGGTTTCTTTCATCAAGAAAAGAGGTTGCACGCCTCCCCAAAAAGATTAGCACTCCCTGATCTCCAAGAAGACAAAGAACAACCGGGTTGGCTTCGACCACTCACCATCACCCAAGCCAAAAGGAGCGCCTCTCCCCTGCGTGACAACAACCTCCGACGAGGAAGGGATCACCATTCCCCGTCATTATCTCCTAATAGAATCAACGGGGACGAGCCTCATGGCCCATTATCGAGAGAAATCATGGAGACAACGCTCCCTGTCATCCTGGAGAAACCTCCCCCATTGGGGACATATGACAAAACAACCGACCCTAACGAGCACATCGAGAACATCGATGCACTGCTCGACTACATGAGGGTTAGTGGAGTAATCAAACGTTAGTTGTTTCCTAAGATGCTAAGGAAAGGAGCCATAACCTGATATAAGAGCCTTCCAGACGAATCCATCTCGTCATGGAAGAACTTGGGAAGATAATTTTCCAGGAACTTCATCGCATATTATCGACATACCAAGTCAAAGGTGTCTTTGAAGGCGATCATCCAAGGGAAGGATGAGCCCCTTCGGGCATACATCCAGTGCTTCAACAAAGAGGTCGTACAGGTCTCTACGACTGACGACATAAAGAAATATCTCCTTGAACGCGGGCTCTGTCTCCGCAGCGACTTCGCCAAGGCGGTTGGCATATAATCATCGGCCACCCTGGATGCTCTCCTCTTCAAAGCACAGGCGTACATCCAGTACGAAGAAAAGGAGGCCACCAACAATGTAAGGGACTCGCGACATACGAAGAATGTGAAAGTCTCAAAGAATGATGAACCCTCGACATCCCATCGAGGAGGAGAAAAACGAAGAGAAGACAAGTCTTGAGATTCTAGAGACTATAATGGACCAGCTGGTTGTTTTCACAACTACACCCCTACCAATGCTTCACGCAAGCATATCCTTACTGATTGCACAAATTCAAAATTCAAGCAAGTCGGGGTCCGTTTTCCCCGACAAACAGGGCCCAAACCAGGCACGGATAAAAGCAGGTACTACAGATTCCACAAAAGCCATGGGCACATAACGGAGATTGCATCCACCTTAAAGATGCCATCAAGATCCTCGTATGGGATGGGCATCTCAAACATTATAAGAAGAAATATACTCCCCGGGAAGACGCTCTTGAATCAAAGAAGGTCGAAGAAGAGAATCCCTCCCCAGACAAAGCTCTCATACTCGACGCTATGAGCATCATAAAGACAGAGGATTTCTACTTTCTTGGCATGGAAAAGGTCCCCCTATACTTCTCATCACACAGTCTGTGGAGTCATTCCCAGTCGCAATGATCATTTCGGGTGGTGGCTTTAACAAGTGCATCATAGGCTCGATGAAAATAAGATTTGAGCAATTAATAGAGGCTAACTTTGACATAAGTGGCACCCTCGATAAATTCATGGGAGGCTCCCACACCCTCCCATGCTATCGGGAAGAGTTTCCCAGAGGATCCCCTAACTCCAGCATCCTCTTGCTCGTACGACGCGCATAGAAAACTTCGACGTTTGACATATCTTGGTCGACCAAGGCAACTCAGTCGATATAATGTATTCCCAGTTGTTCACCACCTTGCAGCTGAATGAGGCACATCTGACCCTATATGTTGCTCTGATCTCTAAGGATTCAATGGTTCAATCACCAAACCTTGGGGATATGTTAAATTGATCGTTACTTTCAGGGTAGGAGTGACGGCCATATCCATCAAGACCCAATTCCTCGTGATAGATTATTCGTTATTTTATCAATGCATCTTTGGGAGGCCCACCTTGACCGAACTAATAGCAGTGCCCTCCATGGTGCACCTCAAAATGAAATACTACATCGTTGATGGCCTTGATGCCACCCTACATGGGGACATTCAGGCCGCCAGGAGATGTTTTGAAGCAGCTACAAAAGGCTTGAGCTCCATTAGTACTCAACCCAGAACATCCAACAGACTCGCTATCCCCGACAGCTCTAAAGAATCAAATCTGTTGCCCCCATGCTGACACGGTCGACCTAGACAGCCGTTTTACAAAAGAGGACCTCAGAGACCAGAAGAAGAAGAAGAAGAAGAAGAAGAAGAAGAAGGGGAAATAACCCATGCTCGATGTAGAAGGCCCATCAACGAGCATGGGTGAATCTACAGATCATGTGCATACAATCCCAGATGGAGAATTTGAGATTGTTCCCCTGGGCAGCAACCCCTCCAAAGGAGTCAAGATCAGTGTCGACCTCCCTGACTTAGCAAAGAGGAAACTAAAGGTGTGCCTGAAGGAGAATGCAGACTTGTTCGCCAGGAGCCTAGTAGAGATGCCCAACCTAGACCCTGAGATAGCTTGTCATCATCTGAGAATAGATCATGCCCTTAAGGTAGTTGCTCAGCCCAGCGCAAGCAATCTCCAGAGAAAATAAAGGCTACCGAATAGGCTGTAAAAGACCTCCTAGAGGAAAATTTTATCTCTGAAGCCCAGTACATAACCTAGATCTCCAATGTAGTCCTCGT